GTGAATGATCCTCCCGCTTCTTGTCTTGGATTCCTCCTAGTTTGATCTTCTCAACCGGCTGAGTAGACCGGTTTATCCTTGAGCATATAATATCCCATATCATTACAGATATTATTTCTACCTGAAACGTTTACACCACATAACATACAAATAGAGGGTCATACAATTCAAATTGCACAGCAATCGGACGAACAAATGATTTATGATGATTTTATAAAAGTTCAGCAGCAATACCCGATTCAAAAATACATATTTGACCACATACTCAACAAAAGCCTTCACCATGAGGCCAAAGACTTCAAATATTCCAATATCTCACAACCCTAAACACGATTCACCGCAATTCACATGCTTACACATAGGGATGGCATTTTTTAACCAAAAAACCGAAAACCAAATCGAACCAAACCGAACCGACAAGAAAATAAACCGAAGGGCAGCTAGCTCCGAGGTTTACCGCTCCGTGGGCCGTACCGAACCGCTTGTAACGGTAACCGACTATCGGTTACCAAATCACTATCGGTACGGTATCGGTTTGAACCCATAAGAGTTCGGTAAAACCGATATCGAATCGATAAGAGTAAAAACAATTAAAAAATATTTTTCTTTTAAATATTAAAATAAAGATTAGTTGTTTAGTGTTCAAAAATTGAAATAAGGGCTCAACCTACCTAAATCTCAAAATGACGTGAAAAATACCACTACTCATCGCCTCATTCACCTTCTAATTCGGAACATTGTCGATTTACCAGTCTCACTCCTTATAAAGAAGATGCCACCGCTACTGTAGTATATTCTCGCACCACCGTTACTAGATAAGTTAGTTGAAGTTAGAAATTTTATTTTTTTCATGTTAGCAATATATTGTTTTATTAGTTGTGTTTACCATAAAAACTATAATCTAATTATATTTTAACTAACTTCTATTAATTAAATTTAAACTTTTAATCCTTCAATGGATTTGTGAGTCTTTTGTGCGTGTTTAATTGGTAAGAAGTGAAAAAATTACAAAAATGACGAGAAAAATAAACACTAGCATTTTTTTGTGTTCAAAATGGGTTCGGTTTTTTCGGTATAAAACCGATACCGAACCGAAACTGAACCAAATTTTCGGTAACCGATTTCAATCGGTTCGGTATCGATTTTGCATTCCGAGGTTACCGACATTATCGGTACGGTATCGGTATATGCTTATCGGTTCGGTAACCGAACCGATATCACCCCTACTTACACATAAATCGAATATATATCAAAATGAAACGATCATAACTTAAACCTAACATGTAAATCTCAACTTAACCCTAACATGTAAATCTCCTCAAGAGGTCGTGACTCGTGATTCGTGAATCATAAACCCGTAATATGGTCTACGGTAAATACGTGTTTCTTGCTTTCCCTCTTCGAATTTATTATTTAAATCAAAATAAAAAAAAATTAACTAGACAAAAATAAAATAAAAAATAGGGGGTCGACCAAAACAAAACAGACGTATTCTCAGAATACGTTTTTTTTAATGTAAAACGTATTCTCAGAATACGTTTTTAATGTAAAACTTATTTTCATGTTCCGTTTTATAACGAATTAAATTTTTAAACGTGATTAACTTAATTACATTCATATAAAACGTGATTAAGAAAATTAAATTAAATAAAACGTATTTTCAGAATACGTTTTATAAAAAAACGTATTTTCAAAAATACATTTTAAATACAAAAAACGTATTTTAGATATACGCTTTTTTTTAAAAAATAAATTTTATATATTATATAAAAAATTTGTAAATTTTTTGAATTTTTTTTAAATTGAAAACGTATTATGAAAATACGTTTTACTATAGAGAAACAACAATTTTACAATAGAAATAAAAATAGAACACCTGTTTGTGGAAATCGATTCCACAACCAAATATTCAACAACCAAATATTCATCCAAAATATATCAATTCCACAAACAAATTTGAAGCACAATATTTATTTAATATACCAATATGTGTGAATTTAATTACACAAAAGTCAAGAAAAAAAATGTCCATAAATTTCCTAATAGTTGCTAGGAGTGAATTGATCCGGAGGTCTGCGCTCCCGGGAGCCCTTCCGACGCTGGTACGTCTGTAAAGAAGACGAGGTTGTGGGCGTGGCAGCTTTTTCTGTATCTGAATAAATGATATTTTAAAAAAAATCAGAAATTCTACTTTACAATAAATAAATAAATAAATAATTTAAAAATCATATTGCAGTTAAGTAAAAAAATCTGACCTTCTTCTGCTTATTCTTCAGACACGGTATTGGGAGGCACGGTGTCGGCAGGCACGATGTTGGCATCGAGTTCGCGGACACGACGTCTTCTATGCCCGCCAATATTGGCAGCAGGTCGATGCCTCGCCCGGTGCGACTGCATCGGTTGGGGTCGAACATAGCTCTCTTGAGATAGAACTTAACTCGACGACGTCCCTTCCGTGACCCTTTGTCCTCCGACAGTCAGTCCATCGTAGAGCATGTTTTGGGACTATGCGATTATGGAATGCTGCACTAGAGTGAGTGCATTATAGTCAAGGGTCGATAACAAGTTCTAAACCCCCTCCATGGCATTGGCCTGAAAAAAAATTTGAAAATTATTACCATTAAACAAAAAAAAAATAATAAGAATAATAATAAAAAAAACACAATTTATTAACAATTACACTCCACATCCCCTGCTCGGACAGTGGATGAAAGCCTCCTTGTTGTTGGACCACCGGGTTGTTGCCAGGATTACTGATTAGTCTCACAGTCCTATAGTGAAACCAATCAAGGTAACCCAACTCAGGCTCAAGGAACGACTCCACGGGGTAATGTGGAAGGACATGTTGGGCTCTTTGGTCGACCCAAACATTCCCAAGTGCTCCATGATACTCCACCCAATCATAGAATGCCCTCCCAGTCATTCCCTGGCCTCGATGGTGTGTCTGGTACTCAGCCAAACCCCTAATGATCGGAGGGTCGGGGATGGCTTGCCGACACCCGAACTGACGGATGACCCTATCAGTCAGGTGCTGCTCACGAATGTCCCAACAGAAGATCCACCCTCTATACATCCAGAGGTGTGAACCTTTTGTACACGAGGCCAGGAGAGTACCCTCGTCCAGGTGGCGCTTATATGGCACCCAATTGAACTGTACATAAATAATAATAATATTTATTAAGTTATAGAAAAATAAAAAACGAAAAACAAATATATATATAATAATCAATATTACTTAATAAAAATCTTACATCATTCTCTCTCAGCCACGTTAATTGATCTCGGATAGCGGTTGTTCCCTTTCCGATGTGTTTCATATTCCTCCGTCCCACCCACCTTAAAAATCACATAATAAAAAAAAATAACCAAAAATTTTAATCACAAAATTTTATAGTTAAAATATTTTAAGTATTAAATATAAATAAATAAGATTACCTTGTTCCTAAGGGACAACCATGGACTCTGTCACAGTTGGTATCCCTCATTTTTGGGCTAATATGAGGGATACGTTCCCATGCCCAAACCTACAGATATCGACATAAATATTTGGTTAATATATATTAGGATAAAGTATAATAAAAAATGAATGAAGTAATAACAAGTAAGTACATTTATTTACCTGAATCAATTGAACACAGTTCTTGATCCAGCCTTCCCCGACTCTGGCGGTCGTGGTGAGCCCTCTATAGACCCCGACAAGGACAGCTGAACCCCAGTTGTACTTCTTGATCTCATCGATCTCGAGCAAGTGCTGTATCCAGTACAGCACGACCCCATTCGCCCTATGATCGGGGAAGAAAAATGACCCGATACACTAGAGTATAAGCGCCCTCACCCTCTCTTCGTAGCGAGAGGGAAGCTCTTCATTTATTAACGATCTATAGCACTCCTTTTCAATTGTCGAGGTCTTCAAAAACTGACCTATAAGTTCCGGGGTGCCCTCCGGGTCGTCATCAGCCTGAGAGTGTTTTACAACTGAAAAAAGAAAAACGTTACGTCCCCACAGACGGCGCCAATTTGATGTGCTATCGCACTTCGGACCGACCCTCCTTGATCCTCAACCGCTTGAGCACCTGAACACCTGCAAAGACGCCGGGAAGTGTTCCCGGCGGTAAACCTCCGACGCTCAAGTTAGTATATTATCTAGAAGGGCACAGCATAGATTTTAGGGTTTGTAATGTGATTCGATGATTACCTCTCGTGCGCCCCAACTTTACCTATTTATAAGTACTGACATTGCGTTTGTGCCACGCCTTCGTCCTCGTCCGTTAGATCATCCAACCCCTTTAAGCTTAACCTGCGGAAGTGCCATGCCAGCCCAGTTACCTCCGAGCCACCGAAAGATCTATACTTGGGCCGCTATTATGCCTTTTGGGCCGAGCCAAAAGAGACCAAACCCAAGAAGGCCGAGCCACCCATTTACCCTATTATTTCTAGATGCTATATCATTATGCGTGAATGAAATGGAGAAGAAGAGATTTTTTTTTATATTAATCGTAAAAAACGTATTTTGAGAATACGTTTATCGACAATTTAATTGTAAAACGTATTCTCAGAATACGGTTTAATAAAATATTATTTTTTACAAAAAAAATTATTTTTCTCTTGAAACGTATTTTCATAATACGTTTTGCTAAAAAACGTATTTTCAAACTACGTTTTATAAAAATACATTTTAATTACTATTTGCCTATTTTTTCTTAAACGTTTTTTTTAAAATAATACATTTTACTTTTTTTTAAAAACGTATTCTCGGAATACGTTTTCTTGATTAATTTTTTTTTAAGAATACGATTGTTTTGTTTCGGTCCACTCTTTTTTTTTTTTTTTAAATAAATAAACTACCCTTCCCTCTTCTCCTCAAACCGACTAATGTCGTATTCAATTACTTCGCTCTGTATTTTTATTTTTGTCATAGTACGATAAACTAGGGTTTAGCTGAAAAATATTATTTGGGTTTTTAACATAGAAAGCCTGGTTTTCAAGTTGCAGTTTGTTGGATGGAGGATAACGAAGAAGCCGTTCAAGATGCACTGGGTGGTTCGGGAGGTACTGCTGCTGAAGAAGAGCAGGCTCAGAAGGTTGAAAACAAAAATTCCATGGATATGCAGCTTGAATCTCAAACAGAGCGCAACTACGAAGAAAAATCTCCACTGTTGTATGCTATCGAGAATCCTGAAATGCTGGGCGACGGTCAGGTTTTTCAAGTTAGGGAAAATCTGGAGTCTGTACAAGCAGAAGATGAGAATGGTGAAACAGAATTGAATACTGAGAATGGGCTCCTAGAGGATGATTTTGAAAATGATTCCACTAGTAAAGGGAATATTCAGGAGGGAGTGAAAGGGAAGGTGAAAGAGATGAAGGCTGTGGCAAATAATGGAAATGAGGTGGTCACTGATACAGAGGTTCATCCAGATGATGAGATGGAGGTGTTGAAGAACGAGCCCGCTGTTAAAACTCCTTCAAAGTCCTTCCTATTAGATGCCAATGATGTTTCAGGGGATGAGTCTGGCACGGAGGAGGAGCAAGCTGCATTTATGAAGGAGCTTGAAACTTTCCACCGAGAAAGATGCTTGGACTTCAAACCTCCAAAATTTTATCAAGAGCCATTGAATTGCCTCAAGTGACTATTGGTTCATTTTTCTTTTTGATTTTTTTCTTTTATTGTTTTATTATTGATTTCTGAACCTTGCAATATTATGTTTCCTGTTTGCATTAGGTTGTGGAGAGCAGTAATCAGACTTGGTGGTTATGAACAGGTACACCATCAACTTGTTTTTGTTTTTTGTTTTTATTAATTTTTTTTTTTATTTTTTTTATTTTTTTTTTTCCAGTCCTGTTGTTATTTAGTTTCACCTTCTAGGAGAACATGGGAAGTTAGTTCATGGGCATAAATCTCAGCGTTAATGAGAGGATCAACAAAAGGATGCACCTATGCAATCATAAACTAGAGATATAGTGACTTAAGTGAAAAAGGCTCGTCTCTCAATATACTTAGTTTCTGTGCTAGTACATCAATAGAAACAAAATGACCTTTAAAAAAAAAGAAAAAGAAAAAGAAATAAAGAAAGAAAATATTTTTTTTTTTTTTGTTTTTTTAAATCTCTTGTTCAAAGCCTTAAACTGCATAGTGTTATAGGGATTTATCTACCCTATTTCCTCGTGTGAGCTACTGTTGTCTAATGCTTTATACAGATATGTCATGGTTAGTTATTAATTGTTGAAATTGGTAAGAGTGTGAATGTTATGCACGCTTTTCCTAAGGTTTTAGCTTCTTGGCTAGCAATTTGCATTCCTTTTCAGTATTCATGATAGTTCTTTGTTGATTTTACTAGTGAATTTTCCATGAAATGTTCTTCTTGACCTCTATGAGCTGAGTTATTCTTTCGTTTCTAGGTGACTTCACTGAAGCTGTGGCGGCAAGTAGGAGAATCCTTTAGGCCCCCAAAGTAAAGATCAAGTTTTATATTTTCATTTGTAGTAAATAACCCACTTAATGTCAGTCGTGCATTTCTGCTTGTCTGAATACATTTGTCGCTACACCATAAATTAAATGACAAAATGGTGACAAATGGATGGTTTTCTGTGAGTGTTTGTTCTATTTCGCTATTCACACATACTCACAATCAGAACACTAACACTGAATTGTCATAATTTTTGCATTCTTTTTCATTCCTTTGAGATGATTCATTGATGCATGCATGTAATTCGTGAATTTGTACAGGACCTGTACTACTGTCTCTTGGACATTTCGAGGTTTTTATGAGAAGGTAATATTCAAGTCCTTGCTCAATTGTTACTCTTGTATCGTTGTTTATTCGTGCATCTCTATATTCAGTTACCAAATATGACATCAAGTATGATTTGTGACGTTTATTTGTAGGCACTGTTGGAATATGAGAAGTACAAAATGCGTAGCGGCGAGCTACCTTTCACTGATTCTTCTTTAGCAGATCCTGCTTCTGGCAATCAGGTGAATCCATCTACATGTGATTCCAGCATGACAGCGTCCTAATCACGCATGCATGAATGTTATTATAATGTTAAAACAGCTTGCCTGGGCCATACTAGTCTAAGAAAAATTATGGTATGAAATGGTCTATGGAGTTATTCATGAGTTGCAGCAAAATATTTGAGTAAATTCTTTACATATACTAATGGTACAGTAATACAAGTTTGAATATATAATGGATTGTAAAACTTATTATATTATCTATCTTAGTAAATTTCTTAACCTAGAAGATGTCCTTGAAACAATTAATCTGCAGGTAGATCTAAGTAATCCTTTAGGATCAGGTAGAGCAAGAAGGGATGCTGCTGCTCGTGCCATGCAAGGATGGCACTCACAGCGGCTTCTTGGTAATGGTGAGGTTGGGGATCCCATCATTAAGGTAAGTTTAAGTATTCTAATTGTTCATTTGTTTATTTCCAGAGTTCTGTATGATTGTATCTTTTTAGTCTGTCCCCCTTGTTGTAGGTTTCATCTTGCATTCATACTTTGGTTATGCAGGATAAGAACCCAATTACAACACCAAAGCGTGAAAAGCAATTAAGAAACATTGGTAAGATTTCTTGTTAGGAGTGATATTTCATGGCCTTTCCTATGGCAATTTGGATTTTATTCCACATTTGGTTAATCCTTTACTAAGGTTTCCTGAAGCGCAAAGGATCTTCTCCTGTTGAGCATGCTGTAAAAGTTGCGCATGTGGCGCCAAAATCACAGTTAAGATTTATCAGTTTGGAGCTCCTTCTGTTCTTAATATACAGCTGTTGGCATCATTCATGGGTTGTTGGATATAGCATTCTAAGTGATTTCTAGACACTTTATTTTTCTAATCCTGTCTCACCATGTTCGTGTATCAAAAGAGACATCTGTGTCGTTGAGATTCAACTGAAGAAAGATGATATCAAGCCTTCATAAGACATAGTTGTTGTTTGTCAATGTTTATGAATTCAGAGAATCATCTTATGGACTTCAAAGTAATGATTTCAATGGTTTGGACAGATCAGAGGTAATGGTTATGGATGTTGGTGTCCCTGCTGATTGGGTGAAGGTCAATGTGCAGAGAATGGTATGATCTTTCCAGTCCTTCATGTTTATTTGTCCATGGCATGCTCTCTAACTCGTTTTTGCCTGCTGCATATGCAGAAAGACTGCTATGAAGTGTATGCTTTAGTTCCTGGGCTTTTGCGCGAGGAGGCAAGTAATAGAAAGTTTTCACCTTTTACGCAATGACTTACTCGTGCACCTTATTTATAGCTTTTTGTATGTATAAAAAGGCCAAGAGGGTGGCTCTCCATACTGAAATAATCTAAAACTGAAGAGGAAGCCTTGGCCCTTTGGAGTTGATCTCAACATTAATTTTATCAAGGGAGTTATGGGTCATATAGTGTAATAAAACTTACTAACATTGTGAGCATTTTTCTTAATTATTTGGTCTGAATACAATCTGAGTTTATGTCTCGTTGATGGTCATTGTTTTGAACAACTTGAGTGTATTGGTGGTCTGGATGATTTGTTGATGTAGAATTTAGAATACAAGTATTTCTAAAGTTTATTTGATCCGTCTTGCTTGCAGTGACAATTTTCTATATTTGCTTGTCTTCCTAAAACTTCATTTTTATTTTTTTTTCCATGCTCTAGCAATTTAAACAAAAACGTATGCAAATGGCGTGATTCTTTATTTGACAACAGGTGCGTGTGCAATCTGATCCTGCCGGGCGGTTGGTAATATCTGGGCAACCCGAACAGCAAGACAATCCCTGGGGTGTCACTCCATTTAAAAAGGTAAATAAATTTTGGTTATTGTGCTTGGTGTGTGTGGTGTGAGAGTATGTTGCCAGCTTTTTAATCTCTATTAATCTCATAAACTCTTCTTTACAAGAATATATACGTAGATGGTTTTTGTATCTCTCTTCTTCTATATGACCAGCAAAATTGTGTTTTTCCCAGGTGGTTAGCTTACCTACTAGAATTGATCCTCATCATACGTCTGCTGTGGTGACCCTTCATGGGCAACTATTTGTTCGTGTGCCATTCGAGCAAGTAGATAACTAGATATGTAGGAACATTGGTAGTTGCCTTTCTATGGTTTAGTTTTTTGGTGGCATCTTTAGGTGATCTGCCGTCACAAAAAACAAAAAGAAAGAAATTGTGTAAGTTTTACTTCCGTTAACTCAAGACTTGTGGTGCGTGTTTTCTTTGTAGTAAATCAGGTATTTCAATTGCTACAAATAGCAAATTAGGCGTCTGTGATAAGGAAAAATGTTTCTCAAAATACAAAAATTCCAAATCTCTTTAGAACTGTTTATAGTGATGCAAAAGCTTAGTTGAAGTCGGCAGAACTCCATTTACCACCACGGCAAGACAATCCCTGAGTTTTGTGCTAGAATTGTTTTCCCGAAAATGTCTGACCAAAGTTCCAGTTTTGTGGAGCGACATTGTAAGATGCAAGTGTTCTCCTAGTAGACGTAGTGAGCTCAAAGGACAGTGGCTGGCCTGCAAGGTTGATGTTCAATTGCCAGTTTTGGCCCCAATTCCTTGCCATTGGAGCCCATCCGGTCCTCGGCCCTTTGACTTTTAGCCCCACAACTTCGCCATCCAAACCCACATTGGTAACCAAGACTTGCATGAAATAAGCGCTGCCTTTGAGTGTGAACCGGATTCCTCCTTTTCTTTCACATCTCACCCTGCTCTCAAAACAAATCCAACAGGTTTAGCCACAAAACAGACAATTAAGAGGGTAAGAAACTAACAATGCATAATAATACCTCTTGTAGTGGATGTGGATGGGAACTACTGTATCTTTTGTAAGAAGAGAAAAGGAAGAGTCTGGAATTTGAAAGTGGGCTTTGGGGAAGTTGCACCACCCGCCATTATCGGGAGGTAGAGCATAGTTAGGCGGACAGAAATCGGTGGCAGTGAGGACTATTGAACTTGTGCCGGATCTGAGCTCGAAACAAGCCCCACAGCTACTTCCTCTGTTGAATAAAATCCCACTTAATGCTGTGCTATAAGTGCCATAGCTCGTCTTGTGAAGGTCTCCAAAACCACAAGCACCCTCTGCAAGAGCATGAAATATGAATAAAATCCCACTTAATGCTGTGCTATAAGTGCCATAGCTCGTCTTGTGAAGGTCTCCAAAACCACAAGCACCCTCTGCAAGAGCATGAAATATGGTACTTTTATACAATATTCTTTTTCCTAATCATAAGGCAATAAGTTAGTTACCGGTTGCAATGGAGGAATCGGTGTCTTTTGAGTTGGTTGCTGTGGCAGACTTCCATTGGGCAGAAGAAGCTGTTATGGCCGAAAGCATGTAGCAGACGATGGCTGCAAGACAGAAGACAGCTGTAGAACCCATGTCTTCTTCATATACAAATATTCCACCTTTGTTTGCTCCCCTTTCTTTCTAAAGTAATTAGTCTAAAGCAAAAGCAACTTTTGTGTTTTTCTTCACCTGAATTCATATATATAATAAACAAAAGCATATAGTATTGTCCTAGCACCAGCAGGCAAAACACATACACCTTTCAATTCGTCGCTTTTTATCTTCTATATACTATACTGTTAAAAGCGCAGTTTAGGTAGCGCGAAATAGCGCATTTCTGCTCAAAAACACGCCATAGCGCCTGTAATTTAGCGAAGTTCCAACATAGCGTACGCCTTTGATGATGTGGCACACATTTTACGCGATAGCGTACGCGATTTGCGCTATAGCCTAATTACGCATGCTATTTGGGAGGGTAGTATTATATATATAAGAAACAAAAAAAATAATTGGACAAAAAATAAAAATTAACAAAAATTAATAAATAAAACGTATTTTGATAATACGTTTTATATTTAAAAAATTAATTAATAAAAAGTATTATGATAATACGTTTTATATTTTAAAATTAATGAAACAAATTAATATGTAGTATGTATATTGTGTTTTGGGCTCGTTTGGGCTCGTCTGAACTCAGAATTGAGTTCCATTTTTTCCTATACGTAGCTAACGAATCCCTCTATTCAATGATTTTTGCATGGCCAAATTATTCTTGAAATCATATTCTCTCAAAACTCTTGACCAATACATTAAACGTGTTTCGCGCGACTTTACTTTTTGGGCCCGTTTAGACTCGTCTAAGATTGAAATTGATTTTCGCTTCTTCCTGTATGTCGCCAATGAACCCTTCTACAGAACCATGATTGCCCGGTCAATTTTCGGGCTACGTCTATTCCTCACGGGCTAAATAATTAACATATCACCCATTATATAAATAGATGGTTCATGGAAGATTTGTTAATGAGTGATTTGTATTTTGTGTTTCGGGCTCGTTTGGGCTCGTCTGAACTCGAAATTGAGTTCCGTTTTTTCTTAAACGTAGTTAACGAACCCCTCTATTCAATGATGCTTCCATGGCCAAATTATTCTTTAAATCATATTCTCCCAAAGCTCTTGACCAGTACGTTAAACGTGTTTCGCGCGACTTTGCTTTTTGGGGCCGTTCGGACTCGTCCAAGCTCGAAATTAACTAAAATGATAGTTAAGATTTATACCTCCTCTTGAAAATACGAAAAACTGAAAGAATCGAGAAAAACGAAGCCTCGAATGCTCAAAACTCGTCCTTTGATAAATTCACTCATTTTGCTACTATTCCCACGGGAATTTAAGCTTTTCTAATTAAATGCTCGGAACTCCAAAATACTCGATAAATGCCCCGCCTGACATCGTGCCTAAATCATCTATACGTTCCAACTCGATTCTCGGTAAACCGAAGTCACACGCGACCTTGCGGAACCCACGTAAACAGCTTTTTTATTTATTTTACTAATATGCACCCTCGAACTCGAGCTTCTCTAAATAAATGATCGGGACCTCGAAATAATAAATCGACGCCACAAACGGCTTCTCTTTTTCTCGTGCTTTTTCGAAAGCACTTTTCTTAATGCTCGACTCGCTTATCGAGGCCCGACGGAACACCCGAAGTCGCCTCGAACGCTCAAAACTCGTCCTTGGCAAATTCACTCATTTTGCTACTATTGCCACGGGAATTCAAGCTTCTCTAATTAAATGCTCCAAACTCCAAAATACTAGATAAATGTCTCGCATGACATCGTGCCTGAATCATCTATACGTCCCAACTCGATTATCGGTAAACCAAAGTCACACGCGACCTTGCGAGACCCACGTAAACGTCTTTTTATTTATTTTACTAATATGCACCCTCGAACTCGAGCTTCTCTAAATAAATTATCGGGACCTCGAAATAATAAATCGACGCCACAAACGGCTTTTCCTCTTCTCATGCTTTCTCGAAAGCACTTTTCGTTAATGCTCGACTCGCTTATCGAGGCCCGGCGGAACACCCGTAGTCGCCTCGAACGCTCAAAACTCTTTCTTGACAAATTCACTCATTTTGCTACTATTCCCACGGGAATTCAAGCTTCTCTAATTAAATGATCGGAACTCCAAAATACAAGATAAATGCCCCGCATGACATTGTGCCTGAATCATCTACACGCCTGTAACACCCCACTTTGATTTTACAGAAATTTCGAATTTTCCAAAAACCAGTATAAAATTTTCAAAATCATTTTCGAAAACTTAGTGGGTGTTAACTAACA